GAACGAGGTAATCACCCCTTTTATGAAAAAAAGAGGAAGATAAAAACACGCAATTATTAACAAAATCTCGGAACAACATGCAGATGCAAAGTGTAATTGATTCTTGTCTTTAGAGTGCAAATTGGGAGGAGCATCAACAGTCTAATGCAGGGATCGCTTGGCCAGATACAAGGCACCCAGATACTCAAAATTATAATTTTTTTTTTAAAAAAGCCACAAACTCCAGTCAATAGCATCTTCCCACGTCATCGTGAAACAGATTTGGATTGGTTGCACGTGTCTAGATGTATGGATCAAACAATGAGAACTTTTCTTTTTAATGGTCTGAATAGGTAGATAAGAATGTGTCAGTTTATGTAGGAATTACACATCCTGTGGGCCGAGACCTCCCTCGCACATGGATTTTTTTGGCTCCACTTGCGCTTCTTGTTCTCTACCTTTGAGGTGTTAGTCGGGTTTTAATTCATAATTAATTATATCAAATATTATATATATATTATTTTTTCATTTGAACATGGTAGATATATATAGTATAGCTATAATTTTTGTAAATATTATAGATATTTCGCGAGTTATTTCTATTAATTCTATTAGTCTTTAATGATCTAAAAAAAATATTAAGTTGCAAAAGAGCAACTTAAGAAGCCAACGTGAAAACTACCATTTCTTCTTAGGATTTGTTACTTTTTAGTTTCTAACATCTAAAATGGATGATGAATGTCTTCTAAAACCATGGATAATTGCTTGAAGAAGGGGCTTCGAACGTGAATGCCTGTGTTTGTGAGCTGCAGCTACTCCAATTATCTTTCTCTTTTAGCAAGCATTGTAGCCGAGTAAACGGGTTTGAAATGAACAAAGATGCTTTCAAATTTGCAGATGGGCCTAGGCATATCACAAAGGCTGAATTTGCTAACAGTTTGTCCAAATCCCACTGGATAGTAGGGTTCAGCTCCATTCAAGAAAAGGCCATTCAAGCCAGCCCACTTTCTCCCGAGCAGCCCAAATTGTTATCATCTCCAACCAAACACCACTTCAACAGCCCATATTGATCGATCATAGCCCTTTCCAACAAGACCTGAGGCTACCTTTTTTTTTTTGTATTTTATTTTGACCATACCATAACTCTACAAAATCTTTCAAATAGGTCAATAAAAAATTATTAAAATCAAACATGTTTATTAGGAAACATCCAAGTTCGTTCACTTTAAAATACATTTTAACAATCCATTGTAAATGTAAAAAATTATTATTAGTCGAAGCACGTGTTAAAAAACAATGTGGGAATTCTTTGCCTTTACCTTCACGCCAACGCATCGACTGAAAACACACCCGTAGAAAATCTTGGACCAGGTCAGATAAAGTAACCAGTTAGATTAATCGTAAAACAGACTGTGTGTTTAAACCTTAGTAAAAATGTTTTCATGACTCAAAACAAAATTGATTTTTTTATGTATTTATTTTTTTCATTTTGATATATATATTGGAAGATAGATTTGGTAATATTAATATTTTCTTTATTGTTTAATAAATAAAATAACTATTCAAATCAAGTTAAAATACAAACTTACATGCAAGGTCCACCACCAACTTATTTTCAAAAGAGAAGAGGTTTTTGTTCCACATTTATATATTTACTAGATAATTCCCTTGTTTTATATTGTGATGGTTCAGGTTAAATTTTTTTTGAACATATAAAAAATTGATATATTTGATTTTTTTAGTATATTTTTGTTTTTAAATTATGTGAGAATTAATCTGATATAACCTAATTAATTTTGCGGATTCAAAATCAACTTGTATACTCATAAAAACATAATTTGACCTAATAATTCAAGATAATATATTTTTTTAATATTAAGATAATAATATATTAAAATAATCCAAGTCACCCTGGGTTATGAGATTATAATAACTTCATTGAAAGAAAATCAACATAAATTATGTAGCCTAATTCCTAATCAATACAATATCAAAGTATAAAATGAAAAAAATTAATTAAAAAAGGGTCTAGAAGGTAACATGAGTTAACCTGTCAAATTCATGACTCGGGTCATAAGACCGAGATAGTCCATTGAAAAGTAAATTGAAATAATTACAAATTACAATCCCAGTTAGCCCAATATTAAAAGATAAGAATAAAAAAACAAGATAAAAACAACCTGAGTTAATCCATAAAACTCATGACTTAAGTGATCAAACTGAAATAACTTTATATAAAGAAAATAAATGGCCTACTTTAACCTGGATTAACTTGTGAAATTCACAACCTTGATCACAAGATTGAGATAATCTCATAAAAACTAAATTAAAATAAATTGTAAAGGTCAATTTTCAATAATCCTTTTCAGACCTAAATTTAAACGTTGAAATTTCTTAGAACTTTAATTAATAAAATGACACAAAAAATAAGTTAAGTCAACTCAAGTTAACTAGTTAAACACTATTATTAGGTTATGAGCTTGAGATATCCTAATAGAAAACAAACCAAAACAAATTATTAAATCTAACTATCAATCAAACACAATATTAAATGATGAAACTGTATAAAAAAGTCAAAGAAAAAAAACTCGATTAATTAAGTTAACTCGCTCAACCTGCGACTCATGTTATTAGATGAGGCAACCCAATAAAGAAAATCTAATGTTGAAGGACTCGTGACTTAAATTGTGAGACCGAGATAATTTCTCAGAAAAAAATAAAAAATAACTTGATTTAACCAGGGTTAAAATATCAAAATCTAGGACCTTGATTGTGAGACCAATATATCCTCATAAAAAAATTAATTCACATTAGGAAACTTAATTACTAAAAAAACCTAATATTGAATGATGACATTGAAAAAAATCAATTAAAAAACAAAAAAAACCCTGAATAACCTCGGGTTAACCTGTCAAATATTATTATTGAATCATGAGGCTGAAATAACATAATAAAAAATAAATCAAATAAATCATGAAGTCTAATTTTTAGTTCATCAAATATTAAAGGATGAAGTTGGAAAAAAGTTAATTAAAAAAAAATCAAGTCAACTGAGTTAACCTGTCAAATTGAATTAGCATACTAACCTATTATTTGTGTTATGAAAATGTGATAACTTAATAAAAAACAAAAGTAATATTAAAGAAATAAAAAAAACATTGATTGAAAAAAGTCAAAGAATAAAACAAAAAAAAATGAAATACTATTACAATAAATAGAACTATCTGATGAAGAGTACAATAAAACCCCTTTTCTTTTGGTGTATATAAAATTTATAAAAATTATTAAAAAATATGTGAATCAATTATATTTATATTAAATCAGAATAATATGTCAACTAATAATTCATGTTATAAAAATATGATAATTTAATAAAAAATAAAATTAATATTAAAAGATAAAATTTTAAAAAATATTAATTAAAAAAGAAGAAGAATAATATTTTATAATGATGGTTATAGTAAATCTCCCTCTCCTTCTAGTTTTAACGTAGTTAATGTTCGAATGAACACTTTTTGGTCAAAAGTTTCCTATAGGCGAAGGATCCCAGAAACCAACAGCTACGATCTACCTTATTCAGCAAGAAATTAGAGCTTATATAAACACACAAGTGCATAGGACTGAGCCCACCAGAGGAGAAGTGTTAATAATTAAGAAATTTGAGTTAATACATCTCTGTAGCAAAAGGTTCCTTCACTGTGCAGAGACTTGAACACTCTCCATATACTCAAATAAGAAAAATGGGCAAGGATAAGGCGAAGAGTTGGTACTCGTCGATCAAAACCTTGTTTGCCTCGTGCACCGGTACTGCATCTAGTGCAAGTAAGAATACAGAGAATGCAAGAGCAGCATCGCCAGCCGGGCCGGAAACAAACATGGTTGCTGCAGCAAAGCATTTCTCTTCCGCCCATAAAGTGAGGTTAATTTAGCTTACCATGTTTGCTTATGGGATCACAAGTTTCTGACAGCCCAACCCTTGTGAAACCAAGCTTCAAGTGCTAAGAAAGGTTCAACCCAAAGAGGAACAGGGTATCAGGAAGCCTATAGATTCAGAAGAAAAAACACGCACTGGTAGTTGCCCACAAGGCACTTGGCAGTTGACACAGTTTACGATTGGTTCTTTTTCTAGTACTTGCTACCATGGTTTTGTTTTCCTTGAAAAAAGAAAGAAAGAGGTTTCTGTATATATTTTCCTAGTAGGCATGGCTATCTGTTAACTATAAAATCAATTCCATTTTCAGATCGTATGTAGTTCATGTTTCAAATTCCTAATTCGGATTGCTTATCTCAAATCTGACCACATTTGCAGGCAACAGAACGACACCTGAATCGCTGAAGAGGTAATTGACATGAACAATATAAGTATATGTACAAGGGAGAAGGGACTCCATTTGAATATGTCTAATGGGGATTGACAAATTTACCGACTTGGTTTAATTAAAGCAAATAATCAACGGCACAAAATCCCCGATACCAACCAGCGCATAGATAAAGCTGAGGAAGTTGTTAATTGTCGGACAGGTTAATCCTTAAGTAGCAAAACATTGTATATTTTGAGAAAAGGGACCTGATTGCAAAGAAACCAAAACAAATGGCCTCGTTCAGACTCAAAGCTCAACTCCTTTTTTATGCTGTCTGCCAGGCATCCAACATCTTCCATCTTTCTTTAGCTAGAGCACAGAATGTTGCCGACACCCTTCAAAGTTATCTTGATCCTATGCGATCCAACACTTTGCCATGGCAAGCAGTGCCTTCTGGAGAGAAGAAATAATCATTTCACATTATGCCCTTTATCAACCGAGAAAATGATGTCTTGAAATCAAATCCTGGTTTGGTACTAGTCTTTGCTATTCAAATCTTGTGTATCAGTTTAAAAATTCCCCTGTTTTCTTTTTCTTGTTACTGCAAGTTAGGGGTCCAAAGACACCAATAGGTCTACAATTTTGAGAAATCTTGCACTGTCATTCATCAACATCGTCAAATTAGTAACGGGGGGAGCTGTCGATTCCTGAGAGCTGAGATTTACCCAATTTAATCCAAATATCTTCTGTCGATTCCTGAGAGCTGAGATTTACCAAATTTAATCCAAATATCTTCTATATCTCTCCTTTCTCTTTCTTTCTCCAAAAGGACAGGAGTTCAAAAAACTGCAAAAATGAACATGAAAAAAGGGCACATATAGTAAATGAATTGACAGCGCAAGCTAGTTTAAAAAACATATTATTTCTTACTAGTTGTTTACTGTGTATATATCTTTTCTTATTTGTTCCATTTTCACCTTAATTACGAAGAGATTTTATTATTGACCTTCAAATTTGAAAATTCAATTAACTAATAAATGCATACCGTCTTGTGTTCTTCCTTTCTGGTACAAGATTTTGGTACCAGAATTTGCCAAGAGTACTCCTGATACGTGCACAGCTTCTCTCTTCCATCCACCTCTGGATCATCTTCTTGTTTTTTGTGTTTCTCCTCTTCAGATTCATCGAAAGATGGAAGCTCCAAACTAGCGTCTACCATAAAGCTACCTTCCTTATCTTTGAGGCCCAGATCATCGACCATTTCATGATCAGCAATCATATAATACTTTGAGTCTCCTCCAACAGTCCTGGACCTAGTGGTTCCAAATTTCGTCCCAAAAAATGGGATATACTTCATTTCTAGAGATACAACCTTAAAGATGAGGCAAGAGGATATAAAACTACAGAAGAATGGTAAAATTAAAACGAAAAGAAATATAATGAAAACGAAGCCAAAGAAAATACATGGAAGAAGAAAGGGTAGTAAGATTAACAGAGTACTAGTAGCAGAGAAGCAGTTCAATAGTCTCAATAAATTGGGGCGTTGGAGAGGCATTATGGGAGATTGCTTTTGTATTTAGTTTTAGTATAGGTTTTCTGTTCCAGGCGATTAGTATACTCGGGTTTCCTTTATGAATTTCTACAGATTTTCTTGGGTTCATTTGGAAGGTGATGTTACGTGGAGGTGAGCGACGGTTTTCGGGAACCATTTTCGAGGCCAAGAGCGTGATGTGGAGGTGAGAATGATGCGCGGGCGTTACTGGTTTGGATCAGTTCTATCCATACGTGGAATGTTCGGAGAGATTGAGGTAAGCATTTTCATGAGTGAAATCTTTGACTCGAGCAACTTAGGAGGTTTTCTTTTTTCTTTTTGGGCTCTTTGCACGCATGAGTTGACACTTTCAATTTTCCATCTGGCTACTGTTCTGTGACCCTTCAGGTCTCCTCTCCTACTCACTTTCTCTGAGTTATTCTTCGCAGCAATCAGATCCTAATTGCCATTTTGCCAAGTGATCGTTGCATCTGGGCTGCTCGTCTAGCACTATATACACTACCAGTCGTCTTCAAGCCTCGCCCTGTCCTCGAACTCTTCCCCCACCCCACCCTGATCGTCGAAGGCAAAAACTGGAGACAGAATAGAGAATCTTTTTTTTTTTTTTTTTTGTGGTTTCAAGCAATTTGGGATTTCTAGGATAGAAGAATAATGTTGTCTTTTATCATGTCCCAAGCTATGACAGGCCACATGTGTTATTCATTTCACAGTATGAAAATATTTCACTTTTAAAAATCTATGCTATCACAGTCGACAGAGGTTAAAAGGTGAAGAACATCATTGAAGATTGCCACTCCTGTTACGGAGGCAATCGCCAATCCTTTACGGAGGCGATTCTTACTAGAGAAAATCGCCACTCCTATTACGGAGGCAAGTCTTGGAACATCTAAAATCATTGAAGATTTTATATATATATTTTGTAGTGTATCTTGATGTACAGAATTTTCATTCGATGGTAAAAATTCACCCACTGCCAACCATCTTCCTTGTTGCGAGGATGCTGTCCATTGATATTTCTCCACTCTGTCATCGATTCTTCGCTTGCAGGCCACTCGATGGCAGACCCATTGTCAGTGATGATCTTAGTTTAAATGGGATGGCCCAAGTGATCCTAATGGGCCATGGGCTGCAGCTTTGTAATGAATAGGGGGCCATGGCCATGTGAAGAACGTGGGGCTCACCTGCTTTTCACGGGCTGTATTAGTGGAATCCTTACCTATTTGTCATGTGAACTCCGCGGCCCCCCATTGCTTCCACAGTCTTTTGCGACACCAAACTCGGAGGCAAGGAAAACTGGGGGAGAGAGAGAATCCAATGCATGTTTACCAGGGGTTAATTTTCACACGCCAATTTCACATAAAAAGTGTCTTAATAATCATCATTTTAATCACCTCTCTCTCTGTCAGACCATTTGTCGAAATGTTCGGGCGCGTGTGTTTTTATTTGTAGGAAATAATCTTATTTAAGAATCTGTTGTGAGTCACTGTAAACCTGTTTAATAAAAATTATGATATTAATTATATAAAAAAAATATATTATTATTCTTTAAACATTTTGTTGGAGGCAGATTGACTTATTAGTTTTATTTTAAATTACTAAATATTTATTAGTTTATACTATAATAATTTATTTATAATATTCCTGACTCGGTGTCAGTAAATATTCAACTACGAAAATTTCTAACTCAAATGTTAGTAAATATTATTTTGTTATAAAAATAAAAATAAATTTAAATAAGTATTTTTTATTCTTAATTCTAATATCAATAAATAAAAAAAAATTATTTTTACTCGTACACATATTTTTTATTTTTACGTAGTTAAATAAAATAAAATACAATATAATAAAATAAATTTAAATTAATATTTTTATTTTTGACTCTAATATCAGTTAAAAAACTAATAAAATAAATTCATAATTTTTATAAAAACATATATTTTTATTTTTTTTAATTTTTTAAGCTATGCTAGACACAACCAGCCCAGCTTAAGCAAATGACCAGGCGGTTTCTACTTGCAAGAGTGTATGAATTATTCACACACGTTTGATACAATCACCATGTAATTAAATTTCTAATGCACAGTGCTGGTGAATTATTTTTACAAAGCTGGAGACACCTACCTGTGAGTAGGATGAAGACGATGGCGTGCTGTTCCATCTTTTGTTTACTTTTCCTCTAGTTCTTTCTTTTCTTTTGCTTTCTCTCGGTGTAACATTTTCCTGTGTTTGTTTTCCTCTCTTTTTATAAGGTCTCGCTCTATATGCTATGTTCTTCTGTGCGGTTTCTGTTTTTTTTTTTTTTCTTTTTCTCTTTGTTCCTGTGTTCCGGGGACAAAGGCAATGCTGGCTTTTGCTCTCTCCTCCTTTCTCTTTTTAATTTATATCTCCTTATTTCTCGATCTCTCTCTGTCTGTATGTCCTCCAGTTCATCCTCTCCCTGTTTGTTCATGCTTTCTGTTTTTCTTTATGTTCACTTGTTTGGAAGGGGGAGGAGCAGAAGGACAACAATCAGAAGATGAATAATACAGGGGAAGGAAAAAACGAAAAAAAAAACAAAGAAATAGAGAGTAGGTCTTATTGTTCCAAACGACTAACCTAATAATAAAATATGAGTAAACTCACAAGTCGTCAAATTGTTTCTGACGACTTGCTTGATGATAAAATATAAAGAAATTAGCAAGTGATCAAATTGTCATAGGTGACTGGCTCGATCATAAAATACAAGGCATCTCGCAAGTGCAAATGACCAAATTATTCTCGGTGACCTGCCCGTGATAAAATAAAAGGAAACTCACAAGTGGTCAATTTGTTCCAGACGACCTGCTCGATGTTAAAAAATATAAAGATTTTTCAAAAGTGGTCATGAGATACTTGCCCAGCGGTAAAATGCGAGGAAACTCGCAAATGATCAAATTGTTTTAGGTGACCTGCCTGATGTTGAAAAATATGATAATTTTTTAAAAGTGATCTTATTGTAATGAGTTATCTACCCAATGAAAAAATACAATGATTTTTTAAATCTGGTTTCATTATAATGGATTACCTTCCCTGTGAAAAAATACAAAGATTTTTCAAAACGATCTTACTATAATGGGTTACTTGCCCAATGTGTGTGAAAAATATAAAGATTTTTTAAAAGTGATCTTATTGTAATAAGTTATTTATCCAATGTGAGTGAAAAATACAAGGATTTTTCAAAAGTGGCCTTATTGTTCCAGATGGCCCGCCCAGTATTGAGAAATATAAAGATTTTTTAAAAATGGCTTCATTATAATGGATGACCTATATAATGTAGATGAAAAATATGAGGATTTTTTAAAAGTGAGTGGTCTCATTATAATGGATGGCCTATATAATGTATATGAAAAATATGACGATTTTTTAAAAGTTGCCTCATTGTTCCAAGTAGCATGCCCAATGTTGAAAATTACAAGGATTTTTCAAAAGTGGTCTCATGTAAAGGGTTCCCTACTTGGTGGTTGAATACTAGGATTTTTTAAAAGTAGCCTAATTGTTCTAGGCAGCCTACCTGATGTTGAAAAATACAATGATTTTTCAAAAATAGTCTCATTGTAATGGGTTAATTGCCTAGTAAAAAAATATTAAAATTCTTAAAAGGATGACATGATAGAAGTCGAAGGCGCACTATTCAAAAGATGAAAGCTCGAAGGAAGTCAGGGCTCGAGGGCACACTCAAAAGGAGATAAAGTTAGAAAACGCACTACCTTAAATAGTCGATAGCACACTTGAAAAGAAATAAAGGTTTAATGGCCCGCTTAGAAGGAGGTAGGGCTAGAAAATGCACTATCTTGGATGGTTAAGGGCTTGAAGACGTACTTAAAGGAGGTGGGATTGAGAAATACACTACTTTAGATTATCAAAAGCTCTAAGATGCACATGAAGAAAGTATGGTTAAGAAACAAATTACCTTAAATGGTCGAGGGCTCGAAGGCACACTCGAAAGGAGGTTAGGTTAGGAAATGTACTATTTTAAATGGTCGAGGGCTCGAAGACGCATTCGAAAGAAGATGAGGGCTCGAAAGCGCATAAGAAACAATGCCCCATTGTCTTGGTGTAGGAAATGTTCATTTTTTTTTTTAATTACCCAAAGAGATCAATATTTTCCTCTTATACGAGTTGTTATCTCAAAGTGTACTCCATTAGTGCTTTAGACAAATGATGATTTTAAGTAACTCTTCTCTTCTTCTTTTTTGCGAAATAATCTTTATCTAGGATGAATCTTGAAATCTTGATCTTGTATTTTAAAAACAAAAATTAATTTGATGTGAGTTTAAAAAAATTTACTTTTAAAATCTTACAACTCCTTGGATATCTTTCTTCCTAGGAAAGATATGATTTATTCTTGTGTTGACGATATTGCCAATGGTAAAGGTACATCGTGAAGTGACCTTCTGCTTTTATGATTTCAAAATGGAGGGCTCAGAGAACAAACTCGTAGTTTTGTTTGAGAAAACTTTCAATAAAAAAACTCGTAGTTTTGTTTGAGAAAACTTTTATCTATTTTTAAATATTTTTTTATCAGCATGAATAATAATGAGTAGTTTGTTCATAATGTAATGACTACTATGAAAAAAATATTTTTTACATTTTGAAAGCATTATTTATAGTTCCAAGTTGCTTGCTTGCTTGATTAGAAATGACTTCTATAGGCATATAAAGTAGACTGTGGTTTTTGGCTATGAAAGAAAATGATTTATAAGGCTCAAATAGTGTTTCAAGGTTTCAAAGATTGGGAATCACTATCAGCAATTTGACTTTTTATGTCTTTCATCAGTTCCAAGGGTGTAACTCAATTGTTAAACCCTAGATTTGCTCCTTAAAAATCACAAATTCAAGTCTCACAAAACTCAGAGCCACTGAAGGCTTATATGATCGTTAACTTCAAGACTTATGAAATTAGTTGAGGTGCACGCAAGCTAACCCGAACATCCACGTTAATTAAAAAAATAAAAAACAGGAAAAATAAAAATAAAAAAATAAGATAAAAGATGAAAAAAAGATAAAAATAGAATAATTTGACCACTTGCGAGTTTCCTCGTATTTTATCATCGAGTGAGTCACCTGGAACAATGAAACCATTACAGAAACAAAAAACTTTGTCCCTAACAAGGTAGGTCGCCTTTCAAATGACTTAATTTCTCGATATCAACATACATCTCTCTATGAAGGTCGTTTGTCAATTTACTATTGTCAAAGTTTTTTTCTATTTTTCTTTATAAATTTACTATGCAAAGCCAAAAGAAAAGAAAATTTTTCAATATCTTTGCATCGTAAATATTATAAAGAGAAGAAAACTATCGTAACTAATTTTTGAATATATATATATATAAAGGGGGTTAAGACAACAACAATT